CAATCCATCCATACTTTCTTCGGTCTTCTATCTTTGTAGCCATCCACATTCAATTAACTGCTTCATTATAGCTATATTTTTTCAGACTGCCAACGCTGTTCGAGACTTAAAATCCGATAAGAGTAAATTAATAAGTAGTCCCAAGGATCTACTAATTATTCTTGTCACACCAGATGCAAGAGTTAAAAAATCTGACGTAGAATTTGAAACATCAAATGAATATGACGATGATAGTTCCCTAGATGAGGCAGAAAATCTAACTCCAAAAGAAGATGAGGCATATTTTCTATATCATATATTACGTGTAAGAATTTAATTATACTAATTAACTAAGTTTAAATAGATAGATGTTTGTTGCAATTTGTAGCCTAAACTGCTGAACGGATCTCGGTGAAATTTGGTATAGATGTAGAGGAATGTTTGAGAGGACAAAAAGGATTCTTTTTAAAATTCTACGCGTTAGAAGTAGCAGGCGAAAGCAAGTTCAGTATGAAACTAATCATTAGCAAAATAAATTACTGATAAACGATATAAATTCAGAAATTTAGTTGTTGATTATTCTTGATACAGAGTTTTTAGAAACTGTCTTGCTATGCAAATTAACTCAATCCAAGATACTCAAGAAGCATGTATAATTAGATCAGTAAAAGTACAATGAATAGGTTGGTTGTGATCTAAAATGATTCTGAATGAAATTCTGTTATTTCTGCCAAGGATACTGGGTTATAAGCTTAATGCTTTTTCATGGATGCATACTTTTCTTCCATAGCGTCTATTGCTAGAAATGACATAGACTATTTAATACTAGATTTTGAATTGCGCCGCGACATAATCTCAGGAAGACAGTCTTTAAAAAGCATGTAAATGTACAATTAAACATTTTTTTAGAGTACCGAGAACAGTCAACGAATAGACAATAAGACGGCTATAACAATAATGCGTACTAAAGAAATTTTACAACCAATATTGAGATCACGATGTTCAAAACTGGATAAATGTAAGAAGAAATGTCCAGCAAAGAAGAAAAAGATGTGCGTGAAGAAATGTATTATGATGATTGATATTTTTATTGTTTGCGAAATGGAGCCGAAGAATAAATGTAAAAAACCTAAATGTGGTAAAACAATGCCACCTGGATGGCGTTAGGTGAATTAAAATCAAATACATAAATAAAGACAACACTATTTACATTTGTTCTGTTTTATTTTATTTCAATGAGTATTATTACTGGACCTTTATTCCTTGTCCAATTAACCTTACAAATGTTTAAAGTCTCCAATAAATCTATACTAATATAATAAAGCGTAAACATTCACTACTTTGTGGCGTATGACGTCAGCAATCACAGCATATTTGTGAATATTTTTTTAATAAAAATCCCTACACTTACGTCACGCTTTAGGCTACATATTTTCACGCAATTAAACTTAGGGGGTAAATAAATTGAAAAAAAAAACTTCACATGGGAAAGGGACCATAAACTACAAGCTGCCAACATTAAAGAAGCAAGGTTATTATGGTAACGGTAATTTTGACATTTGCAATTGAGAATTTGATAAATGTAAGCAATAAAATAAAGTTTTCATGCGGATAAAGCCGCATGGGATCAGCTAGTATTAATGTAAAGTACCAAATATATAGGATCGAAAATGCATAGCGTTTAGTTCACCAAATAATACGGACATAATCTTGATAAATTATCTTTAAAATCTACATCAAAGGGATTCTTCGATGCGAGAATCTTCATGAAAATGCTTTAGGAAATTGTCTTTCAAAGTGCCTTTGATAACATTGTTAATAAAGCTTAGATTATACAAATTTAATTAATACATTTTGGTGTCTATTTATTACAGAAACTTACCAGATATTTTTGAAGTTATAAACAGAAAAAAAAAACAGAATAAAAAATTGAACAGTAATAGACGAAACCAACAAAAAGACGTAGAAAGGGAAAGGTCTAGAAGGGAGGAACGATTGAAGAAAAAAAAATATTAAAGAAAGAATTATTCAAAAACATGCTGTGATTGCTGATATCCTATACCACAAAGTAGTGTGTGTTGCTTTATTATATTAGTGTATAGATATACATAAATATACATGATTAAAATAATAAGAAACATATCCGTGATTTAGTTTATTTATAAAGCGAACATTAGCTTTCTATGCTTGCAGTTAACATCTGGTGCACGTTGGTCTTGATGTGACTAACACTTCCCCTCTCGTACTTGGATTCTTATCACCACATTCATCACTTTCTGAATTACAATCATCGGATTCCTCGTCAGGTTCACATTCGAAATCATCATCACAATTATTCTCACAACTATCAAGTTGGTTTCCAGAATAATTATCCGCACATTCTTGTTGACACTCGTTATTCGCTTGGCAGTTTACTTCGTTTTTATATCGAAGTAGTGATTTTAGTATTGGAGATGGTGTTGATCCGTATCCTCTTATTTTGCCTCTGTTACCTTTGTACTTTTGCAAGTTGCTTTTAGTTTTGTATTGCCCTTTATACAACTTATTTTTGGTGTGTTCTTGAATGGGTGCTCTGGGTTTTTGTGGCTGTGAGCGCTTAAAAAAATTAAAAGTAATACCATGAAATGAAAAAAAATTACTGTCTCGCGTTATTTAAAATTTCAATGACGATTGGTCACATATAAAAGGGATTTTTAAACTGTTATCAAGAATTTTGAAGTATGAAAATGTTTCTAATACTCATATATCTTGAATGAATTTTAGTCACTTTCATAATGTTACTCTTAGTTACGTTATAAATCCTAAAAGTTTAGATGGTTGGATGAATGTTTGTAAGGATGTCAAAGAAATTTGATGGATGTAGACCGTAGTCTAGAAAAACATAGATTCTCTACATAGTTTTTTTTATTACTGCGCGAACAGAAACGTCGGCGAAAGTTAGTTGCTGATATATTCATGACAAAATGTAATAGGCACGTTAATGGTGTCAAAAATGCAATTGTTTTTGTTGAATACATAAATTATCTAATTCGAGAGCATGGGTAAAGAAGTAATTGGTTACTATTAGAAGTGTGTAACCACTTATTTTGAGCACTCCAAGCGAAAATCTAGTATGTCGTGTGGGACTTACAAAGTTTTTAATCAAGAAGACAGCGGGTATGCCACTTTCCTTTTCATCGCTTGATTGTAGCAAATCATTGGGTTTGAGAGGGTACTTTTGATTCTGACTTCTATCAATAACAAGGACTAGGGGTCTGTTATTCTGAGCGGCACTTTTGTAAAGACGACTTAGTAGACCAGTCATTTCTGTGTTAACACCGTTGCACTGAAAAAGACATGGAAGAATCAATTTCTGTTATTTGAATCTTTTTTGATTTAAATCTGAGATCTGACTTCTACCTTTATAAGCGCATCTTTGACTTATAACACAACAGTTGTGTGACTGTCGATTGTTTTGCAGTCCTTTCAACTGTTTAGTTGTACAACTAAAAATCGAGTAGTGTGTGCACCATATAAGGTCATAAAAATCAGAACAAGACTAAACAGTTGTGCGATAGTTTAGATTCAGGTTTGCACATTCTAAAACCCATAGAAGAATATCTAACGTTAGGAATCCAAGATCATTTTAGGTTATCTTTTCTGTTCCACAATTTTGACACATATGAAACATATCTTTGTCTCTTTCTTTTTCTATCCAATATAGATATGACAATACATTTCAGAAGTGTGTTTAAAACCAAGAATGAATAAGACTTACACTAATTATGAAGGATGATATAATTTGAACTGCAATCATCACCAAAGCCGTCATTTCTAAAGATGTTCTGTTTGACCGCCACTTGTAGAGTGATTACTTCACCTTTCGCAATTAACTTGTTGCTCCAGTGATTTTAATCAATTCGTTAATTAGGTTTATTATTGTTATTACTTTTCTCATTCGCTTTGAGGTTTATTACTTTAATTAGTGTTTCAAGTAATTAGGTAACTTTAATTGCAAAGGTCACTGTTACCTTTTCATGCTGATTTGTGTTTAAAACATAGTTAAAGTCACGTGACACTTTATAAGTCTTCTTAAACACAACCTGTCTTTTTTACTATCTTAAACGACTAAAATCTTGCACACAACTAAACTATCGCTCAACTGTTTAGTCTCGCTATGATTCCTATAAGCTTATATGTAGGTTACACTACTGGATTTTTAGTTATGTAACTAAACAGTTGAGGCTGCGGAACAATTGACAATCGCACAACTGTTGTATGATATGTCAAAGGTGTGCCCCAGCTCTTAGAATCGTCATTGGACTTTTGAATGTACATTTTGACATTATAAGATCAGTATTATGAATTATTCCCAACCGTTACCCTACTCTGTCCCCATATGGACGGATGAATAAATAGTTTCATCCGTCCCACCTTTTAGTCCCACTATTACCAATAAGGTGACAAAAGAATCCGTTAAGAAATAAAATAAGTTCCAACTGTCCCTTGTCGCAAAAGGGGGGATGGATGAAACTTTTTATTCTCATCTGTCCCCACGTGGAGACAGACCGGGGTGACGGTTACGAATAATCCAGCATTAGATATTTATTGGCTTTTGTTACTTTTTAATATTATAAGGAAAATATGGAACTAATTTATTTGCACACATCGCCAAGTCAGAATTTTTGTGTTCGTCATCAACTTGCCCTTATCCCTTAAGGAGGGTCGGCACAGTATGTGCTGCTCTTCCATACATCTCTATCAGCCGTCATATCTGAAACAACTCCTTTCTTAAGCATATCTTCTTTCATACAATCCATCCACACTTTCTTCGGTCTTCCTCTTACTTTGTAGCCATCCATTCTTAACACTTTCTGGTTTATGTCCCCATATCACATCACATAACATGTCCATACCACGCTAACCTTTTGTGTTCTTGGTTATATAATTGTATTAAAAAATAAAAGCGTTACATTTTTTAATCTACAAAATTGTTTAAAAAACAATTCTGTCAGTTAAAACTCTTTGCCATTTGCTGTCAATCTGTCAGTTACAGGAGATTGTGGTATGCATATGTAAATCGAAAGATTAAATAAAAATCATATTAAATTCATTTTCAAAATTATTAAAGTATCCAATAAATCATGGAATCGAAATGTTTGTATGTCACATTAAATAGCGATTCACAATTGATGAGATTGTGAGATATTAATCGTTCAAAATGCCAAGTCGTCAAACGGTAAACACTTTTTACTATATTATAAAATAGCTTTCACCCGACTCCATCCGCGTGGTATTAAAAAAGTGAGTAGCTTATGTGTTTCTTCAGACTATTGACATCTATGTCAAATTTCATCGATATCCTTTCAGGCGTTTAGGTTACAAACTCTAACATCCATCCATCTAAACTTTTGCATTTATAATATTAGTACTAACTTTCGTCCGCGACTCCGTCCGCGTGGAATTAGATAAAACAAAAATGAGTAGTCTATGTGTTCGTCTGGAATATCCTCTACATCTATACCAAATTTAATCGAAATCTGTTCAGCCGTTTAGGCTACAAACTCTAATCATCCATCCATCTAAACTTTCGCATTTATAATATTTGATAGATGGATGTTTGTCATCACGTCACTTTACAACGGCTGAATGCTTCTTCTAAAATTAGGCACAAAAATGCAGCCTAGAATATCGTAGAGCCATAACTCAATTAAAATTAATGAACTTTTGAACCGGTTGAAAACAGATTCATACACAAGTGACAATTTTTAATTGCACGCTGAAATAATCGCAGTTTAATAGTCTTTACTAATATTATAAAGAGGAAAACTTTGTTTGTTTGTAATGAATAGACTCAAAAACTACTTTGCTGATTTTAAAAATTCCTTCACCGTTAGAAAGGTAATTTATCTGTGAGTAACATAGGCTATGGTTTTTAATTTCTTTTTTGTTAGTTTTAAATTTCACGCGGAAGGAGTCGCGGACAAAAGCTACTAAATAATTATAGTAAACTAATAGTATTTTTTGCAATTATAGATTTAATTATAATCTGCTGGTCTGAAAAAAATATATACTTCAATAGAAATACTATCTTCGTTCTAAATATACAATTTTTGTACATTTTCAGGGTACAAATACCAACACAACGATATACGATGATGTAAGTGTATACTTATATATCTACAATAAAAAACCATCATGTCGTAAAACTGAATTAGCACATGCAAAAAATCTAAATTGATTATTAATGTTTAACAATAAATATTAAACAATTCCAGACGCCAGACCAAACATCACTTCGCTCTTTAAACGTTGAACTCCGTGAATATTTGGATAGAGCGAACAATTTTGAACTGTACCCGGGCGCGGAGAGGATGGAATACGATTTCATAGCTGAGAGGCAAAATGTACACGGAACTAAGTACGTTTCAAACATTTATGATTCTTACATTAATACTAGCTTTCGCTCGCGACTCCATCCGCGTGGTATTAAAAAAATGTAAGAAGGCTATGTGTTCTTCCTGACCAACTTCTACATCTATACCAAATTTTATCGAATTCCATTCAGCCGTTTAGGCTAGAAGCTCTAACAAACATCTATCCATCCAAGCTTTCGGATTATTAGTACGATTAAACGAGAGAAGTACAAAAGGCTTATTAGAGTCATTTTTGTAATGAAGGCAGATTTGTCTTGATTTACTTAAAGAACGAAACTGCAGTTAAAATTCATTTTTAAGCTTACATAATTTTCACTCATGATGATGATAGGCTAAAGTTTTCTTCAGCTTTTTATTTCTCTCCCATTTATAGACGCATAGGAAGGGGAAATCTCCTTTTTAGGTGAGTCTCCTCCTCCGTCAATGAAGGGTTGGCAACGCATCTGCGATTGCGGATGTTAATGGGCAGCAATCGCTTTCCATTTCGGTGGATTCAGGTGGCCGTTTGCTCGTTTGCCACCTTATATTATAAAAAAAAGTAAACGATACGGATTTTTATAGCGAGATCTAGTCACATTTATAATACTACACTGATTAGGATTATTCCCAACCGTCTCCCCTCTCTGTCCCCACGTGGTGACAGATGGGAATAAAAACTTTCATGCGTCCCACTTTTTGTGACGAGGTGTCGTTTGGAACTTATTTTATACTGGTTCTATCTGTTACCTTATTGGTGATAGTGGTACTAAAAGGTGGGACGGTTGAAACTTTTTATTCTCACGTAGGCACAGAGCGGGGTGACAGTTGGGAATAATCCACTGATCATTATGAGGGGATAGTCAGCTTAAACTAATTATTACTTGCTGTGGAAGTAAGAGTCAAAATGACGGGTGTACCATAGCAAATTAAATTATACCACTTACTAAAAAAATGTACTATTTAGTACCTCGCTCAAAAAAGTACCTCCTCTATAACGAAATTAAGTTACACCCGCCATTTTGACTCTCACTTGTGGAAGATATTCTAGATATTTTTTCACCACTACATGGTTAGTGTACTGTTCTACGCATCTTTTGAGGTTATCTTATACGATTATTACAGTCTGGTCGAGTCTACCGCGCATTTGATCAAAGGCTGCCTCGGTGCTGGCATTCTCGGCATCCACGAAGGCTACAGCTATGGAGGTCTCTGGACTTCTCTCGGAGCTAACATATTGATCGGCTTCTTTGTACCATATAACATGTTAGTAAGTAATTTTCTACAAAAACAACGGATTTGAACAACAAAGAGATTAAAAAAGTATATAGATTTGGCATAGTTGATACTTTTTCCACATAATCATCACGCTTATTTGATTTATATTAATAGCCTCAAAACCAATAATTTCAATTAATTACCAATAGATGTGTAATGTTTTATTACATGTGACTAACTCGACAACTGATATAGTACCTTTTAAATAATGTACCGGTGAAAAAAATTGTTCCAGTATGTCTTTTCTATATATTTTTAATGTCTTTGTTGAATAATTAAAATTCTGCTTAATAATTATTTCATTAAACGGACATCAGCGTTAGAATTACCATGCCTGTTCCTTCATCGCCTTTGGCATATCTTTGTTCCATTTCATATAACATTGACACAATGACCTTGAGATTTCTTCCCTCGTCTGTTAATTCAATTGTTTCTTTATTCCAGTTATTAATAGATGCTGCACAAAGAATGTATATACGATTAAGAGTTCCGAGACTATCGTATCCTGACCTTGTTGAAGCGGTCATAGCGACTGGACCTATGAGATGTTTAAGACCATATAGAAAAATTTTTAGGTTAGTCAACAATATTTATCAGTGGTAGAGCCGGCTTTAACATCTTCGCACGAATGGGCCGGCTCACCTGTTGCAAAACCACGACCACACAGAACACAGGCGTTAAGTGCGAGCAATCTCGCGTTTCGTCTGATAAGTGTGGTGCCGGAAACCCAACTTGAGTCCCTTTTCCTTCCCGCCCTTTCCCTTAGAATAGGATGGGAAGGGAACGTGGATGAGACGTACAGGAAGGGGAAATATCCTCTTTATGTGCGGCTCCTCATCTGTTGTTTAAGAGTAGGTGAGGATGTCTATGGGCAGCGGTCGCTTCGCCATGTTGGCGGATGCAGGTGGCCCTTGCTCGTTTTCCACGTTATTATATATAAAAAACATTTTTTAAATATACAGTTCCTCTAAAATTAATCTATTGAGTTTTGTTTCAGATATTCCGTAGATTTATTCCTTTTCTTTGGGTTTTGCAGCACATGTTGTATTTTCGAAATCATGATTGCCCGAACTTTGAAGGAGGTTTTTGTTAATTCCTTGTTTATTTTTGAATGTATTAGAGAATGATAGTGGTAGGTTGAACACGTGATTTAAAAGCTAAATCTCTACGATTTAACGTCTATCTTAGAGGTCCTAGTTTACGTTTGTTTTGATAAAACTCATTTAAATGTAGCGACTGCAGTTTTCTGGCACCTTTAGTAATTCGTCATCTTCCTCCTTAGCCTACTTCCGTAAGGCGGAACAAATTTTTGTCCTCCGCATAACTCTATCATACGTCATCTCAGTCACTCCCATCTTGATCATGTTACCTTTCACGCAATCCATCTCTTTCTATGTCTACCTCTAAAGTTAGTTATCATACATTTCAGGTTTTAGAAACGGTCTCTATTTCCTTCAAGAACCATAACTTTTCGATATCTATTTATATTTTGTTTGTCTTCGTACCTCTATTGTCTTTGTGCATGATAAGAAGCTTGAAACATCTGGCGCCGTTTTCTCTCGTCGCTGATGTATTTTGTGGTAAAGTATTGTTTTGCTTTTAATACTATTCAGTACACTGTACAATAGAAATTAAAGCAAAGTGTTTATGAATAAAACATTTTAGAAGACTAGAAACAAACGCCCATATATCTATCTACACTTCAGCATTTATAAAGTTACTAACCTTCATCCGCGATTCCGTCCGCGTGGCTTAAAAAAAACAAAAGTGAGTAGACTATGTGTTCTTCCAGACTATCCTCTACATCTATACCAAATTTCATCAAAATCCGTCCAGCCTTTTACAAACTTTAACAAACATACATCCATCCATTTAAACTTTCTCATTTACAATATTAGTAAGAGTATATCAAAGTTCATCATCATCATCCACTTGCCCTTATCCCTTACGGAGGGTCGACACAGTATGTGCTGCTCTTCTATACATCTCTATCAGCCGTCATATCTGAATCCACTCCTTTCTTCGGTCTTCCTCTTTGTAGCCATCCACATTCAATCTTAACACTTTCTGGTTTATGTCCCCATCGTTTCGTCGCATAACAAAGTATAGCAAAGTACATGAGTAGTAAAATAGTTTTTTAACTATATCAAATAAGATTACTATTGAATGTTTCAGGCGTCTGTGTTTTAATCGCCGTGTACTACAGTATTCTATACAAAACGTACAAATATCGTCCAGCTTGGAAGAGTGTTCGTGGATTGTTTCGTTTCTGTGGCGTCTGTATTTATAGTCTGGACGGTATAGGTGTTGCCTTGCCTATCGAGAACTATATGACGAAGCCTCAATACTTCCATCTTGTGGTACAATGGGGTATGTACCAATCAAGTTTAAATTGACCAAAATCTTCTAGAAAAAGTGACTAAAAGGTGACCAGCAATTTTCCTTCAATAGACGAAAATTCCCGTTAGCAAAGACATTTAAATAGTATATAGACGAGACATTGAAAAACATTTTTTCACCTGTACTTCTCTGTAAGGTACAGTTGTCAAGTTTAGTGCCACCTTGTGTATTGACATGTAATAAAATATTTTACAAAATTATAATAAGCTCCATCTTTTGTTATAAATAAAAAGTGTAAAAAAATAGAATATAAACATATAATAAATTTAATTACCATATTGACTTGTGGTTTTGACAATCTATCAATAGATAGCGTTATGTGAAATTATTATTGACTAGCTGTTCCCATGCGACTTCATCCGTATAAAATTACAAAAAAAAATATCTTATTGTTCACATTTATCAAATTATCAATTGCAAATGTCAAAATGACATGACATGATGTCAAACCATGGCAACCTTGCTTCCCTGATGTTGGCAACAACTTATGTTCTCTTTCCCACATTAGGGTTTTTATCCAAAATATTTACCCCTAAGTTTAACTTCGTGAAAATATATAGCCTCAAGCGTGACGTAAGTGTAGGGCTTTTTATAAAAAAACAGTTATTCGAAAATATGCTGTAATTGCTGACATCTTAGGCAACAAAGAAGTGTGTGTTTACGCTTTATTATATTAGTAAAGATTAGTTTTCGCCCGCGACTCCGTCCGTGGAATTGAAAGAAAATAAAATTGAATAGCCTATGTGTACTTCCAGACCATCCTCTACATCTATGCCAAATCTCATCGCAATCCGTTCAGCGGTTTAGACTACAAACTATAAGAAACATCCATCCATCCAACCAAACTTTTACATTTATAATATTAGTAAGATTATGTGAAAAATGTTTCATGTGTTAACTATGCCTTCTCTATATATTTAAGTCTCTTTACCCGTAACCGAAATTGTAGGCTGTAACACTTCTTTTCGTCGGGATTGTTGTACTTTCCTTGGACTAAACCAGATATTAAACCATCTATACTCTATACCCTAATATTGTGAAGAGGAAAGATTTGTGTTTGTATTGTAATAACTCAAAAACTACTGGGCCGATTTCAAAAATTCTTTCACCAATAAAAAGCTACGTTATCAATGAGTAACATAGGCTATATTTTCAAATTTGACGTGGACAAAATGGCGAGCAACAGCTAGTTTACTAAACTTGTTACAGGTATGACAATAGTTGTAGTATCCGTAGCCAGTGTTGGTTTCTTCGGATATTGGGCGTGGGGTGATGCTTGTAGAAGCCCAATCACAATGCATATGCCCAAAGACCGGTAAGTTATATTGCTGTTAACTTTGTCATCTAAGGGCCTGTCCCACCAAATTGTCCGATAACAATTCAACGTGTAAAATATGTGATGGGAATATCGGATTTTGTTACCTTATCTGTCAGTGACGTCATTTTTAATCTCTCAGGCTCTATCAGCCAGTGATGGGATAGGCCCTATCACAATTTCCATTACATCAACAACTTTACTGGCAATTAGACATAAGTTTGCATGAAAGAAATGTGAAAGTCGCGCCAATTTACTTGATATTCTACATGAGAGAGAAAATATATAAATGTTACATTACAGAAAATCTTTGTGTCGCGTTATTTCTCTCATATTTTGTTGAAATTCTTTCTATCTAAATAATCTAGTTAATATAAACGATACTGCGATACCACGTCATTTTATGTTCCTACAATTAATTTAACTAAACAATAGCGAGTTTGTAGTGTTCATTTAGCGCTAGAAGCGTTTTAAGTCCATTTTGTATAATAGCATTATCTGAACGCAGAGTTTCAATACAGATTTGGGAATTATATTAACCACAAGCGCATTATCTCTGCAATTTCTGTTCCCAGCGCGTCCCTAGCGCTCCAGTTCTTAATTGCCATTTCCCTAGCCGTTACGTTCTCTGTACATCTGTGGGTGCCGTTTAGAACAATATGGCATTACATTGGCAGGAGACATAAGAGGTAGGTTTAGAATTTAATTGAATCGCATCGTATCGTCATTGCGCCTGCAAGGAAAAAATAGCAAATGTTGTTAATTGATAGATGTTTTATTTTTCTTTCAGGCAAAGAGGATTTTGGGAGAGATTGTACAAAGGAATCTATGTCATAATCATCACATGCTTCTCTATTTTGTTTTCTGATTTAACAGAATGGATGAGCTTTGTAAAGTATTAAAATATTTTATTTAATTTATATTATAAGGCGACAAATGAGCCCGCGGTCACCAGTATAGAAATGTAAAAGCGACCAATGCCCATAGATATTTGCACTTTTTTTACGGACTCTACCATAGTTACTTATGGATACTATAAAGATTACTAACGTTACAAAGTAAATTTAATTCGATTTTTACTAACTTACGTATTGTTTTTAGGTAGGTAATTTCTTCTTAGGAACAGTGGTATTTATTTTTCCGGCCTTCATAGATAGCTTGGTAATTTGGGGCGAGACTCATTCGGCATACATGAGGTGAATAATTCAATGTATTTTTTTTAATTAATTGTATTCAATACATTTAATAACCGCCAATAATGGTTTGAGGTGTGGACTACCGATCTTGCGGTCAAGGGTTCGAATCCCGAGATTCGACTATTGTCATGAACCATATCCTAGCACAAGCCTCGAGTGCGATTATCGATTGTTTTGCAGCCAATTCAACTGTTTAGTTGCACAACTAAAAATCGAGTGTGCGCACCTCCATATAAGCTCATACTAATCAAAGCGAGACTAAACAGTTGTGCTATAGTTTAGTCAAAGGTGTAAATGTAACGCTAACTACCTGTATAAGATTTAATTCATTTTTCGGCCGTAATTATAACGATATTATTGAGTAAAATATAAGTATTGAATATTATTATTGAAAGTATTGAATAAATAAAAATGAATACATTTTTTAAAATCAGTTGCACTGTTCGAAAATACTTTGGACTAGCTGTTCCTGTGCGGCTTCATCCGCATGAAATTATAAAAACTTCATTTTATTGTTAACTTTTGTCAAATTCGCAATTGCCAATACCATAATAACCTTGCTTCCTTAATGTTGGCAGCTTGTAGTTTAATGTCCCTTTCCCATATGAAGTTTTTTCAAATTTAATTACCCCTAAATTTAATAGCGTGAAGATATATAGCTTATAGCGTGTCGTCAGTATATGGCTTTTTATTAAAGAAAGAATTATTCAAAAATATAATGTGATTGCTGACATCTTACGCCACAAAGTAATGTGTTTATGCTTTATTATATTAGTCTAGACTAACTAAAATTTATTATTTTCAGAATTAAATTACTGCAAAACGTTATGATTATGTTAATCGGACTTACGTTATGTTGTGGAGCGATTTATTCTTATGTAGAATAAAGAATAATACTGCAGATTTTGTTTTATTTATCTGTCTACTACTGACCTTAACACAAACAAATATACCCCAGAATATCTTACGAAATGAGTATATTAGAGGAAGTCTGAGAGTAGCCCCCGTAGTAGAGAAGGTAAGGAGTAAAAGGTTAGCATGGTATGGGCATATTATGAGGAGGGATGAATCGCATGTTACAAGGAGAACGTTAGTTATGAGTGTGGAAGGGTTCATCGGTAGAGGTAGACCTAGAAAGAGATGGATGGATTGTGTAAAAGGTGACATGATCAAAAAGGGAGTGATGACTGAGATGACATATGATAGAGTTATGTGGAGAACAAAAACCTGTTGCGCCGACCCTACGGGAGTAGGATAGGGAGTTGATGATGATGATGGATATCTTACATACTAATATTATGAATGCAAAAGTTTAGATGGATGGATGGATGTTTGTTACAATTTGCAGCCTAAAAGGAACAAATCTGGTTGAAATTTAGCATAGATGTAGCCGACAATCTGGAAGAAAACATCATCATACTCCTTATCCTATTCCCGTAGAGCGCAACAGGTTTTTGTCTTCCAAATAACTCTATCATACGTCATCTCAGTCATCACTCCCTTTTTGATCATGTCACCTTTCATGCAATCCATCTCTTTGTAGGGCTACCTCTACCTGAGTACCCTTCGACACTCATAACTAACGTTCTCCTTGTAACATGCGATTCATCCCTCCTCATTACATGCCCTTACCAAGCTAACCTTTTAGTCCTTACCTTCTCTACCACTGGGGCTACTCACAAATTTTGATGTGTGCAATGGGCCTTAGTTTCGGTGATAAAAGTATATTTAGAAGTGAATAGTATTAAATAACTTTACCCAGTCTTTGACATCAAAGGTACTCGTATAACAAGATTCAAAAAGGACACAAACAGAATTGTAAAAGGGTTCTTGCATATATTATGCCGAAAGACCCTAACATTTACGCTGAAGAATATCTGCAAATCAATTACGGAATTATAAAACCGTATCTTTACCCAAGATCAACTTTTAAAAGTTTACACTAAAATTAAAAATAAATATCTTAACTCGTTTATCATAAAACTTATTTTAGACTCTAAAATAAAGAAGTTTTTAACATGTTATAAAGATAAATATTAAATTATTTGCTACAAGATACCGCTCGCGGGGAACTAAAAAAAAATTAAAGTATTTATGTGTTCTTCCAGACTATACTCTATATCTATGCCAGACTTCATAGATATCCGTTCAGTAATTTAGGCTACAAACTCTAACAAACATCTATCGATCTATATAAACTATCGTATTTATAATATAAGTAAGATAAGGTATGGACAACTCTAATGAATCGGCCTTTTGAAATCATACTTCATACTAATATTATAAATGCGAAAGTTTAGATAGATAGATGTTTGTTAGAGTTTGTAGCCTAAACTGCTGAACGGATCTCGATGAAAGGCATATATGTAGGGGATAGTCTGGACGAACACATAGGTTACTTGCTTTTGTTGTTTTTTATTCCACGCGGACGGAGTCGCGGGCGAAGGCTAGTAAGTCATAAATTATAACAGTAACTAAATAGGTCTTCGAGTAACAAGTGTGAAATTTAATACAAGCCAATGAGACAAACACTTATGGGATTCAATTAAAATGAAGGTCAAAGTATTTGTTACGATTTTAAAATAGAAACAATGTTCTCAAATATACGATCATTAGACGTAATTTGATTTAAAAGACTGCAATGCTTAATGTTTTCGTCATATACCTTTTTAGCACAAAAACGGTGAAAAAAGCTATGGTTATCCGCGACACCGTTCGCGTGGAATTAAACATACAAAAGTAGCCTATCTGTTCCAAACTACATCTTTAACAGTGGTATAGCCCGCTTTAACATCTTCTCTTGCTTGCCCGGTGTACCACGACCACACAGAAGACAAGCGTGCCGTGGGAGCAATTCCGCGTTTCGTCTGACGAGTGTGGTACAGGAGACCTAAATTTAGTCACATTTCCTTTCCAACTTCTTAAAAGATGGGAAGGAAAAGCGGATTTGACGGCGGATGAGACGCATAAAAATGGGAAATATCTTGTTTATGTGCCTCTTCCGTCGCTTAAGGGTATGGCAACGCATCTGTAATTGCGGATGTCTATGGGCAGCGGTCGCTTCGCCATTGTGGGGGTTTCAGGTGGCCGCTTGCTCGTTTGCCAGCTCATAATATTAAAAAAACTACCTTCATTATGACACCCTTCACGCAATCTATCCATCTCATTCTAGGTCTACCTCTACCGGTGTACCACACTCATATTAACGTTCTTCTTGTTACATGCGTTTCATCCCTCCTCATAACATGCCCCCATGCTAACATAACTCCTTACCTTCTCTACCACTGGGGCCACTCTCACAATAAACTCTAACAAACATTCATCCAATTTAACTTTCGCATCTATTATTAGTAATATATTCCACCAACAGACGCACCATACTTGACGCTTAATGATTCTTCATTGACACAATAAACGCTCAACTCTTGTTGAATTGAGAAATCATTACAAAGTATTGTTCAGTATAAGTGGCCGCTACATTAACGCGGCGACATAAACTAGCTGTTGCTCGCGACTTCATCCACGTAAAAATAAAAATGACTAAAAAAAACATAGCTCATGTTACAGCGATAGCGTAGCTTTAAAATGCTGAAATAATTCCCAACCGTCACCCGCTCTGTCCCCACGTGGGAATAAAATGTTTCATCCGTCCCACCTTTTGGGACAGGACGGTTGTTACTTATTTATTTAAAAATGGCTCCATCTGTCACCTTATTGATTGGACTAAAAGGTGGGACGGATGAAACTTTTTATTCTCACTTGGGGACAGAGCAGGGTGGCGGTTGGGAATAATCCGAATTTTTAAGATCGGCCGAACGTTTTTGAGCTATTTTGATGTTTACAGACATGCAATAATATATAACACTAGATGTTCCAGTGCGGCTTCATGTGCATGAAATTATGAAAGATTGATTTTATTGTTACATTTGTCAAATTATCAATAGCAAATGTCAAAATGACATGACATGACAAAGCTTCCTTGATGTTGGCAGCAACTTATGGTCTCTTTCCCACGTTAGGGTTTTTATTCAAATAATTCACCCCCTAAATTCAATAGCGTGAAAATATATAGCTTAAAGCGTGACGTAAGTGTAGGGCTTTTTATTAAGAAGATAATCATTCAAAAATATACCGTAATTGCTTACATCTTAGGCAACAAAGAAGTGTGTGTTTACGCTTTATTGTAATAATATAGATACGAGTAGTATACATACCTAAAAAAATCAAGAAGTACTTTTCACATACATATAGCATAACCGAGATTATAAAATTCTAGATTTAGGGATGGTACAAACGACTCCACGATACCTTAGACAAATTACATCCCTTTCAAATTAAGAAAAGAATTCATGCCATATTTCTCAATCGCATCGCCAGGTTTTTACACGAATAGCTAATTCGTTTGACATATATCTTACATAAAACATCTAAGAAATACAAAATAAGTCCATGGTAATAAACAACTATGTATATTCTTGTAAAGACAATATAAATAAGAGTTGATAAGCGTCAATGATACCGAAAATATTTCGTTCTCGGCGTCAAAGTACAGTCGTGGACAGTTTTAAATTTAATATTCAAATCATATATTTACAAAAAATAATCATCCGTACTAAACAAAAACATCACTAAATTAAAAAACCGAAACCTCAACTTTTTACTCAATAAAAAAACAATTTCAACTTCACGAAAATACCGGTTTCTAAAACTCTAAATTTGATTAAAAATAAAAGGCTTATTAACACTTTTTATCAGCATTGTACATCTCAAGGTTGTGTCGAATGTAGGCGCTATTCGTTCATTGAATTGAGTCAAAAGACAACCTCGGATGAGTTCGCAAGTGTTCTAATGTTGTGAGGATTTGCAATGGAAATGAATACGAATCACGTAAGTGTCGTTAGAAATGTAACTAATTTAATAATAACACTCTAAAATACTTTAAAAGTAGTATAACAAAGGTTATATTAGATATAGTCCTGGTATTACGCTTTTAAATTGTAGATTTTTCCTGCCAAAACTGTACAAAAATCTAATGTACAAATATATATGTACATAGTAGTCTAGTCTAGTCTAATTATAAAGAGGAAAGATTTGTATTTTCTATATTGTAATAACTCAAAAACTAATAAGCCGATTTTCTCTGAGTAACATAGGCAATACGATTATTATTTTTTTTTTAATTTCACGCGGGAGAAGTCGCGAGCAACAGCTGGTCTAATTATAAAACCAGAAGTCTTAGTACGAATATCTATGCCTTTAAAATATGATGTTATTTTTTTATAATTTCATGCGGATGAAGCCGGATGAGAACAGCTAGTTACAAATAAAGTCGGTTCCCGCTGGCTCAATGCTTAGATCTTTAAAACTACGCAACGGGTTTTGATGCAGTTTTTTAAGAGGAAGGATTATGTTTATTATGGTAGAGAAATTAATCTTATTTTATAGGTTTCTAATGTGATATAAACATATTTTCTGCGATGTATTAAAAAAAAACTAAGTAAATAGCCTATGTTTTCTTCCAGACTGTGCTCTACATCTATGCCAAATGTCACCCAGATCCGTTAAGCCGTTTAGGCTACAAACTCTAACAGTATTGTATTGGTATTTAACACAAATAAATTAATGAATAAATTATTATCGATTGAATATTAAATCGGATCACTTCTATGTCAGTTTTTTTTAATCGTTTTATATTAAGAAAACGGTAAACAAGCTGTTAACCCCTTTCTACTATTAATATTACAAATATTATAAATGCGAAAGTTTAGATGTATTGATGTTTGTTAGAGTTTGTAGCCTCAAAGTGAACGAACGAATGAATGAACGGATGTCCATAGAATTTGATGTAGAAGATAGTCAGGAAGTAAACATAGGCTGCTTTTGTTTTTTTTATTTCATTTCCACGCGGATGAAGTCGCGGGTGAAAGCTAGTTAGCAATAAAAGGAAATTATTATAACGGTAATAAAATATCTCGACTTATAGTTTGACCAGAAAATACCTTATATTGCGGGAAAATTTGGTACAAATTAATTGTCATACTCTCTAATCAACCTGTACATTAAAAATACATTATATACAGTTGTCTATGTCAGTAGATTGAATATTTATCTATACTATTATAATAAGCGTAAACACACACTTCTGTGTTACCTAAGATATCAGCAATTACAGCATATTTTTGAATAATTCTTTTTTTAATGAAAAGCCCTATACTTACGTCACGCTTTAGGCTATATATTTTCACGCCATTAAACTTAGGGGTAAACATTTTCGATAAATACCCTAATGTGAGAAAGAGACCATAAGTTGCTGGCAACATCAAGGAAGCAAGATTGCCAAGGTTTATCATGTCATGTCATTTTGACATTTGTCATTGATACTTTGACAAATGTAAACAATAAAATAAAATTTTCATAATTTCATGCGGATCAAGCCGCACGGGAACAGCTAGTTAAAAATACATTATATACAGTCTATGAATCACTGTTGATTGAATATTCATTTAAAATACAAGTATAACCTGTGTGGTAATAATTTATGTTTTGTCCTGGCAAGACTATAAGGAAAACTGTAAATAAGTCATTTTTGAATGGAAGTTTTTTAATATGCACGTGTAAAAGAAATAAAATGGAAAAAACTGTTAGATCTAGGAGTATTTGAAGTCACAAATTGATATTTTCGTATCTTCATAATCGCTTCTCCTATTAAAATATTTCTAACTATCTGTTGCTTGCGATTTCGTCCACATCGAATTAGAAAAAATAGCAATCGATTTAGTCTATGTGCGTAGCTTTTTAATGGTGAAAGATTTTTTTAAATCTACCCCAGTAGTGTTTGAGTTATTTCTAAGGTATGCATACAAAAATACAAACCTTTCCTCTTTTTATATTACTTAGCTATACTAGCACGTATGCTAAGTTTCACGCAAACGAAGTCGCTGGCAAAATCTAGTAAAGAAATTCAAACGCAGTTCAAAGTATTGTAATTCCGTACAAGTATACACAAGTCCTCATTTCATTGAGTGTAAGAAAAGTCATTTAATCCTTATGATAAAACAGTAAAGATAAAACAATGTTTGAAGTGTCGAGATTTACTGTACCAAAGAGTATGTTAAAATAAGAATCGAAACATTTATATTCAACCTATTAAGAGGTCTGCGAATTAAAGTCTCGGATAAGCGTATTAACACGTCCCTCCTCCCTTTAATATGGTTAAAAAGGGAACGCCGTAGAAATAACTAATTCACATCATTCGTCAAGGCTAACAATGCATCAGCAGTTCCTCACTTGTATTTTTGTATGTATTGAAATAACTCAAAAACTACAGGGCCGATTTCAAAAATTCTTTCACCATTGAAAAGCTACATTATCTGTGAGTGACATAGGCAACTTTTTTTAAAATACACGCGGGTGTAGCCACGACAAATAGCTAATACATAATAAATTTAAATAATTTCTAGGTAAATACGACACAAACTCAACAAGATGTCGATCCATCAACTAAGCCACCGCCACAACCGCCGCCGGTAGAAAATAAAACAAAATTCGTTTTGCACTCAGAAAAAGATCCCTACGATTATATATCTCAGAGATGTACCGCTAAACCTACCAAGTAAGTATTAAGCGTGCGGTAGGCGTATACCTTTGACTAAACTATCGCTCAACTATTTTGTCCCACAATGATTGCTATGCTTATATGGAGGTGCACACACTACTCAATTTTTAATTATGCAACTGAGTTGAATTGGCTGCGAAACAATCGACAATCGCGCAACAATTGTGCGATAGTTTAGTCATAGCGTCTCCCCTAAAATATCAAAGTAAACCAGTATGAGTGTCCTTCAAGAATCGAGCGTACCGTATAGGCTTTTATCTGAAGATCTTCTAGTATTGCAGATGAATGGCGTCAATGAGCAGCTTAGTGTTACCGCCGATAATTTGCTTCCTTCTATTATTACAAAAGAAAGACTTTCTTACCCTTCTTCATAGAGGAAGGAAGAAAATAATTAGAAGACTAAGAAGAAAGCTTAAGGACCTCTCCCACCACTGGCAGATAGAAGCTCAGATAGCTTACAAGTGACGCCACTGTCAGATAGAGTGTCAAAATCCGATATTTCCATAACATATTTTATATATTGGTTTGTCAATTTACTAAGATTGTGGGACAGGCCCTAAGTATTCATTAACATGCCTTTCCTTACAATTAGCTATAACAATATCCCCTTTTCTAATTCTATAAGATATCTTCACTTATTTTGCAATGCTTTTATTTCTGTTTTTACACTATTCCAGTGCCCTTGAATCGACTGGACATCTCATCAAAGGTTGTCTAGGAGGCGGGATATTGGGAATTCATGAGGCGTATATGAAATGTGGACTTTGGTCGTCATTGTTTATTACAATTGTATTCGGATTCTATATCACCTATTGCATTCATGTAAGTAAAAATTACTTTACTAATTTACGTCCTATTGGACGTGGAATTGATTCCCTTACTCATTTGCAATCTTCTTTGAGAAATGAAAAGAATAACTTTGTAGTATCAGAGCGGGTCAAACCTTTAAACAAACTGTTGTGCGAGTGTCGATTGTTTCGTTGCCAATTCCACTGTTTAGTTGCACAACTAGAAGTTATAGCACGACTAAACAGTTGTTCGATAGTTTAATCAAATATGTGCACGCACTCTTAGTACCGTTTTCATTGATTATTTGAGATCTTTGACTAATAAGAACCAGATTTCGTAAATTAGATTAGAGTCATTAGATGTAGACAAAACACATAAATTTAAAAAGTCTTTAACGTGGACTGATTCGAATATTTGAACCAACAAAATGAGCACATACGCAAGACATTTATTGTTCGTTAGTTTGAAAGAACATACCTTGAAAGGTCCTGTCTCTTAAAAGTCAATGTTTCTTCTAAATCGTAATAGTAATTGAAACCTAAAGTTACTTTTGCTTACCAACTAATGCACAAAGTTGTCAAGAACTTAACTAAATATTTACCCCAAGATAACTTAGCAGGGGTGAAACTAAATTCCTCACAGAAATAAGTTAAAATAAATTTTGCTATTATCACCGAACAACTTTAACTGGGGTGCGCAGGAATTTGGAAAACTTTAACGTTCAACTTGTAAAAGTTTTTTTATATCGTATGACTTAACAACACAAGTTTGCTTCTTTTCTTCGTAATCTCAATATTATCAGCCGTTTAAACGATTATCATAAGTGTTCTGAAAGCCTAATTTTAGTCCCCTTTTATATTTATCTTATAAAAAATGTATGAGAAGGGGAAACTGCATTTGAGGAAGATGAAATGCATAGGACGGAGAAATATTCTATTTGTGTGTCCTCCGTCCCTTAAGGGCAAGCAACGCATCTGCAATTGTGGATGTCGATGCAGCGGTCGCTTGGTTATTTTGAAAATTCAGGTTGTCACTCGCAAGTGTTTAAAACATGATATAAAAAAGCTAGTCTAAACTTTTCTTTTCATATATTTGTATGTATTGAAATAATACAAAAACTACTGGGACGATTTAAAAAATATTTTACCATTAGAAAGCTACCTTATAAGTAACTAAATTTAACGTGGATGAAGTCACAAGCAACAGTTTGAAATAATTTAAGGTATAAATTTTTTTATGGTTAATAACATCTTTTGTTCCAGATCTTAGTAAAATCGGCGCAAACATTGTACAAGAGGCTGCATTTATCAGAAATGTCTTATCCAGATGTCGCCGAGGCGTCTTTAGAAGTCGGACCATTCCCTACACTAAGAAAATATAGCAAATTATTCAGGTAAAGAGATACAAAAATATCTACAATTAACTATCGCATTTATTGCGAACTAAATTAAAATATGACGGGTGATAGAAATGTATGGAAGATCAGCACAAATTGTGACGACCCTTCGTAGAGACAAGGGCAAGATGATGATGATGGACAAATAGTGAAACGACATTGAAATCTTACTTAGGCAATAGCCTTATGGTTTGGGGTACGGACTACCGATGTTGCGGTCGAGGGTTTGAATCCCGCCATTCGACTATTGTCGTGAACCATATCCTAGCACAAGCCTAGAGCTTAGTTGGATTGGTTGAAGGAAATATTAGTAAATTAACAAAAATCTACTGATATTTAAAAAAATCTTGCTTAAATATAGAACAACGTTTGAACTACAAATTTCAACAAAATTTTGAATAAGATAAGAACAAAATTCTAAGTAATAAATCTTTTATACTGTATCTAAGCTAAGGGTAACTATACACGGATCTGAATGTGGTAAAAATTTACTAAATCAGTTAAGACGATCTACAAATATTAAAAAAAGGTTTGATGGTAAGCTTATTTCTTTAATTTATTTACGAATTTAAATTATGCATATTAGAGCGCATACCTTTTACTAAACTATCGCAGAACTGTTTTTTTTTTTCTTTCCATGTCACCCCTGACTTCCTGATCGTCAGAGACCTTGTCGTTCCGTTTATTTGTTTACGTTTTGCAATTTACATTACATTTTCTTAAGTTTAGATTTTATTTAATTACCTACGTAATTGGTGACCTTGATTTTAGTCGCGCTATCCTATGAGCTTATATGAAGGTGCGCACACTACTCGATTATTAGTTGTGAGACTAAACAGTTGAATGGACGAACAATCGACAATCACCCAACAGTTGTGCGATTGTCGATTGTCGACCAAAGGTATGTGCTCGCTTTTAACCAATAACTCAAACAGAGCAACTAAATACGCAAATTGTTCAAGCTAGATTACTAAATCACGTTTTAGAAGGGTCCTAATTTTATGGTTTAAATTTCCAGATACGCGGTAGACGCAACCATCTGCATAGATTTATTCGGTGCGTGTTGCGTTTACCAGATAATAATAGCAAAAACAATACAGCAGCTGGTTGAGAGCAAAGATGATATTGCCTGGGAGGATATAGATAGATTGAGGCTATACGTACTGGCTCTTTTACTGCCCATAATGCTGCTCTGTATGATAACCACGCTTAAATATTTAGCACCGTTCACACTACTAGCTGATGTGTTTATTAGTAAGTAATAACAAACAAATGATTCTATAAATAGTACTAGTCCTTCTAACTTTGATCTCCTCAGGTCATGGCTCAATAATTTCCATTTATTTCAGTTGCGTGTGTGATCGCCACAGTGGTATACAGCCTACGTGTTGCTCCAAAAATATCAGAAGTACCAGCTTGGAAAGACGCCTTGGGTTTCTTCGAGTTTTGTGGCATTGTTGTGTTCAGTATGGAAGGGGTAGGAGTGTCTCTGCCTATTGAAAACAATATGAGAGATCCCAAACAATTTCCTAAGGTGCTTTGTGCTGGTAAGCAAATTACATGGCTAATATTTAGTTTTTATCGATGTATTGATGTCCTACTATCTTTCAAGACTTTTTTCTTGCAAATGTTGCTCACTTTATAACTAACTAGCTGTTGCCCGCGAATTTGTCCGCGTGGAATTGAAATGCAAAAAAAAATGCGTCCTATGTTACTCACAGATAAATTACCTTTCTAATGGTGAAAGAATTTATAAAATCGACCCAGTAGTTTTGGAATTATTTCGATATATACAAATCTTTCCTCTCTATAATGTTAGTATAGATATAAATGTGTCTTTAACAAATACTTTTGTTCTTTCAGGTATGAGTGTTGTAGTATCATTCCTAATTATTGTTGGATTCTTTGGTTATTGGGGATTCGGTGAAAACTCTATATCACCAGTAACTCTCAATTTTCCATCAGCAATGTAAGTAAGGTTGTACCAATGTGTTAGGATGACTAAGCCATTGCAACCACGATGAAGGTGGACTATGGCCTAGTCACACTAACACATTACTGATGGCCATAGTCAACCACGCTAGTGGTGGACTCTAGCCACACTAACTTAGGATAGGCTCCCTCGGTGGGGACATTTGGACAGCTAGTGATGATAATGACGATGAATGTAACTCGAATATTAACAGAGGAAACGAAACATTTGACAAAAGTATTGGTATATTAACTTTGTATGACTGTAATTTACGCAGGATCCCTATAGAGAGTAAACTATAATTTTTTTAGCTTTGACCCATTACTCTATCCGCGTGGAAATAAGTAAGTAGCCTATGTGTTTTTTCAGACTATGCTCTACATCTTTGCCAAATTTTATCCAGATTCGTTCAGCCGTTTAGGCTACAAACTCTTACAAACATTCGTCCATTAAAACTGTCGCATTTATATTAGTATTATATCAGGGAAGAGGATAAGGGAATCTTCCATAGGAAAATTTTTGGGGTCATGAGACATTTTTAAATACAATGTTGTCTTAATTTCAGTTTTCCTACAATATTGAAATGTTTAATGGCGATAATGATTTTCATAACATTCGCCCTAAACTTCTGGGCGCCTTTCAATCTCGTTTGGTTCTATTTATCTAAGAAACACGATCCGAAGAAACACTGGCTATGGGAGAGGGTGTACCGAGCTGTTTTCATAGTAGCGATCACATCTATAGCTATTGCTTTTCCTAATATTGGAAATTTGATGGGTTTGGTAAGTTTTTTTTTATCATACTGCCAGTCTAGACTAGTAACAATGCTAACACTTGTACTGCTGTGTTTTGTCCACAGAAAATCTTGATAATTTAAATCGTAAGAAACGTACATAATCATACATAAGTAACAAAAAAAAACTAAAGTGACTCTTATATGAAATTACGCCATCTCTTGGTGTATTTTAAAACCAAGATGGATTTTTTTATTGTAATAAACTCAATGCATAGCAACATTCAAGTTTGTTCATATTTTAAAACATACACTAAAAAATCGAGAAAATGATCAGCGATGTTAAAATAACGACCAGTAAAATTCGAACCCGATTTTCACTAATTTAGAATACTAACAAGTAACCTATCCATTTTAATACAGATCAGTATCCTGTAATGATATTTCTATTTTTTAACTAGTTTCGCCCGCGATACCGTCCGTGTGGAATTAAAAAAGAAAACAAAAGTAGCCTATGTGTTATCCAGGCTCTACATCTAAACCAAATTTCATTAAGATCCGTTCAGACGTTTAGGCTACAAACTCTAACAAACATCCATCTATCCATCTAAACTTTCGCATCTTACTTCTTACTAAAATTATAAATGCGAATGTTTAGATGGATGGTTGTTTGTTAGAGTTTGTAGCCTAAACAACTAGACAGACCTCGATGTAATTTGACATAGACCTGGAGGATAATCTGGAAGAACACGTTTTACTCGCTTTTGTTTTTTATCAATTTCATGCGGACGGAGTCGCGGACGACAGCTAGTTTATATTTGTAAGATAAGATTTTTTGCAGCTTGGAGCGTTCTGTCTATCAAATATGGGTTTTATATTCCCTGCCCTGATAGAACTTCTCGTCATCTGGGAAGTTCCAGGCCTCGGAAGATACAGATGGCGGCTATGGAAGAATGTGTTTGTAATAATTGTGGGTATATTATTATTTATTGCCGGCACTTATTCTAACCTTAAAGGTCTTATAGCAAATATATGATACGAATTCAATTGTTTTGTTTTTTTATCCTCTATTCTATATGTAACTAGATGTAAATATAATAAAAAAACCTATGTTAACAATTATTACGTTATAATTTTATGGTGAAAGAATTTTTGAAATCGGCCCAATAGTGTTATTTCAATACATAAAATACAAATCTTTTCTCTTTATTAATACTAGCTGTCGCCCGCGACTCTATCCGCGTTGAATTAAAATAAAACAAATAGCCTGTGTTCTTCCAGACTAACCTCTACATATATACCAAATTTCACTGCAATCTGTTCATCCGTTTAGACTACAAACTCTAAACATCCATCCATCCATCCATCTAAATATTAGTAAGAGTAAGATAGATACCATTGAAAATAGATCAAAACAGGATGGTCATAGCTTAAAAAGATAGCTTTTGCTTCATTCACTACAATCTCAGTCGAATCGTTCTGATAAATCTAACAATGTAGGCAAAACGGAGAACTAAATAGTTCCCAATTTTGTGTTTATCTGAACGATCAAACTGTTCTGATAAAACTGTCAGATAAAACGGAGCGTGTGTAGCAGACTTTAGGATTAAGAAAACATTATCAATAGAAATCACGGTTAGTTATCCTCACCACCGGTAAAACGTCAGCGTTAAAATAGCGGACATCAAATAGGCATAAAATACATCATGGCATATCCATTTAAAAAGATCCATGTGAAAAATGTGAAGAAACTTAGTAAAACACTAACTTGTAAATCAATAATTTAATCAACAATAACATAAAAATACAATTAAAAAGTTAAAGAATACAATATCCAAAAATACGACATAAATAAAACAATAGAAAAACAACGCAATAATTTGTCACCAAGAGGTAAGAAATCGAATATCAACTGTGTTACTGTAAATACCCGAATTCCGGGAAACTTAAAATTAACCGATAATAACTAAGATATTTCAAGTAATTCCGGCAAAATTTTAACTTAAGAGAATTTACTACAATTCGCTGATAATTCATAATTTTTTTTTCAAATACACATTAAGTGTCAATAAAGAGCCAATAATTTTAAGTTAGTTTAATATTTTTTAAAAGTAACACAAAATACATGAAAGAGTTAACCTATACAGCATGTTTCATTTTTCAAAAGGGTACTTAGTACCCTTGAGGTAATTAAGCTGTAAATCTAGATTAACTTGATTTGATAACTTTACAAAAAAATTACATATTTTAATCAACTGTTTATTAACACTTAATATATAAATCTAGATATATCCAATGATTTCTAAATAAAACAAACATTTAAAAGAAATTATTTCAATCAAGAAATTTCAATAGATAAATCTTAGGTTTCACAGACAATATCCTCTAATCTTATAATAGCCCGAATTCGTATTTTTACTGTAACATGCACTCAAAATTTATTCCTCTAACTCGTTATGTTACATGTATAGATAATAAAACAAGAAAAAATACCAAAAAGGTTTTTTTATATAATTTAAAATTTAGAATTTAATTTATTTTCTTATATATCTGATCGTTTGGAAGGATTAAGGGCGATTAAAATTAGCTGGACTGCACTAATATAGCTACCGCATATACAGAAGAAGATTCCGACCGTAATCATTACTAAGGATATCCACAACCTCCACCTGTAAGTACCGAGACCAGGTCGCTCCCAGTGCACCAGCAGGTAAATCACATTAGGGTAAATGAACGCCAGATTTGACAAACAGAATGCACCAAGCTGGAAACAGACAATTAAACTAACCAAACAGAAGGCTGGAAACAGAGGAAACGAAAGAAAAAAAAAACAAATCAAAAACCCTTCATTATAGTTTGTCTAAATAAGATAAATTAGTTTGACAATTTAGTAGAGATGGGTTGTGTAAAATCAGGCATGAATCTTTTCGATTTTTATTCTTATAGAAGTTGGAATAGACAGATTCAGTGTTAGAACTTATGAATTAAAAAAGACTGTTTTCTCAAATTAATAATGACCCTAACAAATAATGAGAGTAAATAAATGTTTATTACTACTACAGCCGTACGTAATTGAATTGGATTTCGCTATAATTTCTGTCATCGCCAAATTCTCTAAACTATAATCAATACTAGAAATGTCCTCTAAATTAGTTAATAAGAAAATAATAATTTTAGTTGAATTCGATAAATATTTAAACCGAATATCGATAGTTCATAATTGTTCGCTGCGTGTTTGTTTCGTCACTACGATACCTGTTTATTAAGTACGGCATTTAAGTTCATACAAATTGAATTCGATACTTCATATGCGTCATTTATCAAACTAATCTATCTTATTTAGACAAACAATACCATAAGTACTCACTCTTATTTCTTAGTTCGCATACAAGTGAAAACTTTAAAAGACTGGTTGTATCTAAAAAGGGCAGCTTTTCAGCCATAGAGATTTAGAAATTATATAGAGGAGGCATAGTTAACACTTCACTGGAAACATTTTTCACATATACCATCATAACCTTGCTTCCTTAATGTTGGCAGCTTGTAGTTTATGGTCCCTTTCCCACATTAAGCTTTTTTCCAATTTATTTACCCCCAAGTTTAATAGCGTGAAAATATATAGCCTAAAGCATGTCTTAAGTGTAGGGCTTTTTATTAAAAAAAAACAATTATTCAAAAATATGTTGTGATTGCTGACATACGCCACAAAGTAGAGTTTTTTTTTATAACATAAGGTGGCAAACGAGCAAGCGGCCATCTGAAACCGCCAAAATGGCGGAGCGACCGCTGCCCATAGACATCAGCAATTGCAGATGCGTTGCCTACCCTTATACTACGGAGGAGGAGACGCACATAAAGAGGATATTTCCTCTTCCTATGCATCTCCTCCACTTTTAAATCCACTTCCTCTTCCCAATCTATCCTTATAAGAAAAGGATGATAAAGAGAAAGGGACTGAAATTAGGCCTCCGGCACCAAACTCATCAGACGAAACACGGAATTGCTTCCACTTCACGCCTGTCTTCTGTGTGGTCGTGGTATTTCACCGGGCGTGGCGGCCCTGCAGTGCTAAGATGTTCAAGCGGGCACTACCACTGTGTGTGTTTACGCTTTATTATAGTATAGATAAGGTATTCTGTTAATACTTACAAAACCCATCAAGGCGGTAATCGTCGGAAAGATGATGGCAACTAATCCGATAATCGCAACAAAAAGACCTCTAAAAAATAACTCCCACATAAGATGTTTCGCAGGATTCAATTTCCTCTTCATATAGTAAAATACAGTTGTAAATGGTACCCAATAGTTGAGTGCATGAGTCACATAGATCATTACCATAATAGATGCCTTCAGTGTCTTTCCGAGTCTAAAACATCGAAACGATTTACATTACAAAACTACCTGTTGCTCGCGACTTTGCGTGGAATTGAAAAAAATGTAAAAAACAATCTTTTACGTAGCTTAATGGCACAAGATTTATCCAAATCAACCAAGTAGTTTTCAAGTTATTTCAATGCATACAAAAATACAAATCTTTCCTGTGTATTAGTATATACTCGTAGATTAGCTGTTCGCGAACAGTTTTATCCGCGTGAAATTCTAAAAACTTTTGTACACATTGTTTAAATTTTTAATTTCAAATATCAAAATGCACAAATGACAACAAAGGCCTTTGCTATTGGATAACAGGTTACTAGTAATATCGCTTCTTTGCTGCTATTGGCTTACTTTGACTTTTTTTTATCTATTCACCCCCTAAATTAGACTGTCTTCAGTTTGAGACAATCTTATTTAAAAAGGAATTATTCAAAAATATTCATCGATTGCTGATCCACATTTTTATACCATAAAGGGGCAAACGAGCAAGCGGCCACGTCAAGCAAAGTCCAGGTTCCCTTCCCATCATTTACTTATAAGAAAAAGTGCCAAGGAAAAGGAACTAAAGTTGGGCCTCTGGAACCACACCCATCAGTAAGGGGGAATGTCCTCTTTATGGGCGTCTCCTCGTCCGATAAATGCAATTACGGATGTCTGTAGGCAGCGGTCGCTTTATCATTTTGGCGGATTCAGGTGGCCGCTTCCTCCTTTGGCAATTTATAAAAAAAGGCAATAGTAAGTATTGTAACGCACGCGTTCAGCGGGAAGTTGACTGTAATTGGCGATTCACATTTGTCCAAGTATCCAGAATATCCAAAGAAAGAGACGCAAAACACACAAGTTATGATAAGAGTCATGCCTGAAAAGATATTAAAAAAAAAACACTATTTACAAGAACATCAATATAGCCACGCAAACCACATGTCCACGAGTGCGGTGTAACAGTTCTATGTAGTGCAGTGTAATTGCATAAAAATAACACTCTCGTGTTATTAAACACTAGCTGTTGTCCGCGACTTCGTCCTCGCAATATTAAGATAAAAAAAAACAGTCTATAATATGGCAGTTGATGTCTGCTTCAGTGAAAGTCCAGTCAAAATCGGCCCAGCCGTTTCGGAGATTACTTGGGACGTATGCAGGTTGCAGACAGACAAAAAAAAATACAAAATAAAGCAAATACATCATCTTCCCGAAATCTGGAATAATCTCCAATGTAAACATATAATAAAACAAGCTGTTCCCATGCGACTTCATCCGCGTGAAATTATAAAAAAAAATATTTATTGTTCACATTTACCAAATTATCAATTGCAAATGTCAAAATGACATGACGATGTCAAACCATGGCAACCTTGCTTCCTTGATGTTGGCAGCAACTTATGCTCTCTTTCCCACATTAGGGTTTAATCCAAAATATTTACCCCTAAGTTTAACGGCGTGAAAATATATAGCCTAAAGCGTGACGTAAGTGATTTCTGACATCTTAGGCAATAAAGTGTGTGTTTATGCTTTATCATAATAGTATAGAAGTATAGATTGGCTTGTCTGTAATATCAAAAGTAAAAATTCCAGATTTCGGGAAGATGGTGTATTTGCGTTGCTGGTAAAGGAAATCGCACAAAAGAAATTTGGCTGTCTGTCTGTCTGTCTGTCCGCAAGCCACGTTTGTTCCGGGTAATCTCCGAAACGGCTGGGCCAATTTTGACGTGAGTCACTGAATTGTAGCTGACATGGATAGGCATATTATAGGCAACGTTTTTTTTAATTCTGCTCAGTCAAAATGGGGTAACGGGTGGTCCAATTGTGCGCTAATGAAGTTTGCGGACGACAACTAATTTTATTATATGTATAGAAGATAGATTAACATTGGCTTTTTTAAAGAAATGACTTTCCAAATGTTATACAGATAAAATTTCGAATTTACCTCTGCGATTTCAAGTTGTAAAATATACTTACCGGTGCCTAAAGCGATGCGATATTTAGCCGGTTCCTTCATATTGTTCTCAATAGGGATAATAACAGCAGCACAAGACATACTGAACACGGCCATACCGATAAATTCAAAAAAGTTGTATAACGATGTATAAGGAACCATGCCCGTGAAAGTTGGGTTATTTTCAAAAGCGTAGTACACTGCCACCATAATACAAAACACTGGAAAAATATACAATGATGTTAAAACAAATATTATATTGTATACTAGCTTGTGCACGCGAATTCGTCCACGTGAAATTAAAAATATAGTCTACGTTACTCAGTGCTAACGTAGCTTTTTAATGATGGATGAATTTGAGAAATCATCTCAGTAGTTTTTTAGTTCAATACACACAAAAATACAAATCTTTCCTCTTTATAATATTAGTATAGACTAGCTTTGGCCCGTGACTTCGTCTGCGCTGAATTTAAATAAAACTTAGTGTTCTCACTACATTCTACATATGTGTCAAACTTCACAGAGGTCCGGAAATCCTTAGACATACTTGCTAACATACATGCATAAAACCATACAATTTTGGCATTTCATAGTAATATTATAAATGCGAAAGTCTAGATGGATGGATGTTAGTTTGACACAGATGTAGAGGATAGTCTGGGAGAACACATGGGCTCACTTTTTTAAACTCTACGCAGGAGTAGTCGCGGGCGAAAGTAACTTTATTATTAGTATTATTATAGGTAGAGATACGCATCTATTGATGACCTTCCCTCATCAGATTTCTTGATATACCTACATTTTCAGAGAAAACATGTGCTATTACAATGTAGGTTTTATCAGAAAATCTGATGAGGGAAGCTAAAACGCT